CGGTTTTTTCTTACCAACTATTTCCGTCTTTTAATGTTTGTTTATATGTATGTCTGCATTTTTACTACCCGAAAGCGTTGTAAGTCTAAACTGTTACATTTCTGAGCCAATTCCATTCATATGTATACAGGACTGTTTGTATATTAGAGCTGTCAATGAATTTGTAACACTTTGGTTGTTGATCTTCATTTAGTAGGTTATAAACGGGAACCTCGTTCAGCCTACTAAGATTCAAGCATTCAAATAGTAGATATCATTCATTCTCACGCAATAACAGAATATAGATGATAACCGCCTCCTATGAACCTCTAAATGATTACTTTATTAAAATAAATTGTTACTTTGTTCCACATCAATTTCGTTACTTAACGCTGTTAACGTGTTGTAGTTGTATAGTCTGGAATTAAAAGGAGTTGTATCCATCTTTTGCTTTATGGTTAGTTGAATGTGATTTGCGGAGAGCAGTGTGGTACATCAGTTTGGTTCATTGTTCGTTATGATCAGTGTCTTTCATAATGAGACTTTACCTCTGTCTGCATTTTGATGAGCGAAACAACTTTAAAAACCTTTTCGTAAAAACAATTTATCTACGTCATTCGGTTTTATTTTCATATTAACAGCTACTATGCAACAGCTAACAACTGTCCTCACAGGAGTAGATATAAAATTTTGCTGAGTGTCATAGATCTGCATTTGGTTGTGGTCAGAGTTATTATTTTTTATCTTTAACTCGTCATAGTTCGTTATACCCATAGTTGACAAAACACATTTGCATGCAAATGAAAGCGTGATTCTCATTCAGATATAACAATTTATCTGAGAAATTTATTTCCTTGTACAAAATCGCATCGTTGGACCAAGTAGGTAGCCGACCGAAAGCTGCTACCTTGACGTGGTGGTCGGGCTTGAACACCGCAATGATCTATTCAAGCTATACTGGCTGAGACTTATGTCTCTTGAGGTCTACCATGCCAGGCAGGTTGTTTGGATAGCGGTTAAACAAAAAGCAGCTACCCAATCCAACATCATGTTCAATACAAAATTACAAAATTTCATGCCGGATCGGCCGTGGCCCGGATTAACAACGACCGCGCTTCCTGCTGCCGTGTCACAGGGCGGGAGTGATAAATCTGCTACTGAGACACACCAAACAAAAAGAACAAACAAAAACAGGCCGCGTGTGACCGGCCTCAAGCAGTTGTCCCCTGGGCTCTGCGGTCACGCAACCAACTTCCACGGTGTGGGCAGCCGGGAAGTAACAATCGCCCTCACAATCCGAAATGCACACGAAACCTCTCTATTACTCACTCATCTTTGTCTTCATCTTCATCTCTATCATCTTGCCTTCCTTCCACTGATGCAACTCCTCGACTTGATAGCTCTCCACTTCCTCTCCACTCTGCGTCCACTAAAAACGATGGAAGCCAAAAAACCACCACCGACAGCCTCTTAAAGCCGCGCCACCAATTTCATATAGGAGCTCTTAATGTTAGGACACTTTGCCAAATAGGACAACAAGCATCACTAGCCAAGACCCTGGCATCACGAGCCATTGATGTATGCTGTGTTTCAGAAACACGCATACAAGACCCAAGTGTGGTTATTCACCTAACCCCACCTGGCCAACAGGTTGAATCTGCAAAATTCACCCTGAGGGTGTCAGGAGATGCCACAGCTAGTTCACGAGGATTAGCTGGCGTAGGGATAGCTTTGAGTACTAGGGCAGAAAAGACATTGCTTGACTGGATCCCGGTAGATAGCCGAATGTGTGCTGTCCGTCTGAACGGATCAGTAAGAAGGAGGAAGGACTGCACTACTCGCCGATGCCTTTTCGTAATCTCCGCCTACGCCCCCACTGACTGCAGTTCAGATGAAACGAAGGATGAGTTCTACCAAAAGCTGTCTAGTTTGGTGAGAAAGGCTAAACGCTCAGACATAGTCGTTCTAGCTGGTGACTTTAACGCTCAAGTAGGGAAATTGTGTCAATCTGAGAAGGATGTCGGTGGCACCTATGGAGTTCCGTGCCAGCGAACCGACAACGGTGACCGTCTCCTACAGTTCTGCTCTGATAATCATTTGTTTCTTGTAAGCACTAACTTCAAACACAAGGAGAGACACTGTTTGACTTGGAGACCCCCTTCATCAAACCAACGCTGGACACAAATAGACCACATAGCAATAAGCTATCGTTGGCGTGGGTCGGTAGGAGATTGTCGCTCCTTCTGGAACACGTGCGTAGATACCGACCATGCACTGGTCCGCGCTCGGGTGTGCTTACGACTGAACGGACGTAGGAAACAGCTGGCGGTAAAACCATCACGTCCCCAGCTCGATCAGGAAACTAAATCCGTATTTGAGGAAGAACTAGCTAAACACATATCTGTGTTCGACAGCTGTGCTCACCCTGAAGAAGCTTGGAAAAATATCCAGGCAGCCATAGATACAGCTGTAAAAGCTGTGAATAAGGTAAACCCAAAGGTGAGTAAAAACCACTGGATCTCCACCGCCTCATCCGAACTGATAGATGCTAGAAGACTTATTCCGGCGAGCTCCGAATTCAATGAGGAGCGAAAGCTGCACAAGAGGAAACTTACGAAAAGTCTCCGCAAGGACCGTGAACAGTGGTGGGCGACAAAAGCCAAAGAGATGGAGAAAGCTTCGAGGATAGGCAACACCAGGCAACTCTTTGGACTCATCAGGGAAACGGGTGGGAGAAGACAAATCATTAGTGAGACAATCTCGGAAAAAAATGGCACTATAATTAGCTCCAGGATAGACGACTGGATCGTTGGAAAGAGCATTATGAGGAGCAGTTTAATTTGCCCACAGCCACGCTCAACCTTCCGAGCATCCAACACCTCCCTGAATGGGATATAGACACAGGTCCTCCGTCACTAACTGAGGTTACTAAAGCTGTCACCAATCTGAAACTAGGCAAAGCAGCGGGACCTGATGGAATGACTCCAGAGGTATTTAAGTACGGTGGAGACAGCTTACTGTCCGGATTAACTGAGGTACTAGGCAGCGTCTGGGAATCAGAAGAAGTCCCATCGGGTTGGTGTAAGTCACTGATTATCCCCATATACAAGAAGGGAGACAAGTCTTCCTGTGATAATCACAGAGGGATTAGCTTGACTAATATAGTATCTAAAGTCTTAGGCTCAATAATCATGCGTAGACTGAGTGGTGCTCGGGAAGCACAAACACGAGAGAGCCAGGCAGGCTTTAGACCAGGAAGAGGGTGTATTGATCATATCTTCACCCTCCGACAGATTCTAGAACATAGGCATTCCTACCGGCGTCCAACAGTCATTATATTTCTTGACCTAAAGGCAGCATTCGACTCTGTCGATCGGGAAGTTCTCTGGAGATGCTTGGCTGTAAAGGGAATTCCGAGAAAATATATTGCACTGATTAAGGCACTCTACTCGTACTCATACAGCCAGGTGAGGGCTTACGGCGAGCTGTCATCTGAACTGATGACGACCAGTGGTGTCCGTCAAGGATGCCCATTATCTCCTTTTCTATTCAACTTCATCATAGATGTGTTAATGGACTTAACCCTAGGTGACTTCAGCGACTCAGGGATTGACTTGCTACCGGGAATAATCTCGTTGACTTGGAATATGCAGACGATATAGTCCTTCTAGGCGAAGACGCTGACGAAATGCAGAGTCTTCTAAACACCTTGAGCCGCAATCTACGAATGTTTGGCATGCGATTCGCTCCCGCCAAATGCAAGATGATGTTACAGGACTGGACTACATCGACGCCTAGTTTAAAAATAGGAAGTGAAGTGGTAGAGCACGTTGACCGCTTCACTTATTTGGGAAGTACCATCAGCCCCAACGGGCTGATCTCTGACGAAATCTCAGCACGAATACAAGGGGCTCGTTTCGCATTTGTTAGTTTACGCCGACTCTGGCGTAGACGAGATGTTCGACTATCGACCAAAGGGCGGGTGTACTGCTCATCAGTCCGCTCCGTCCTCCTTTATGGTTGTGAGACCTGGCCACTGAGAGTGGAAGACATGAAAAGACTAGCTGTCTTTGATCATAGGTGCCTGCGTTCTATTTCCCGTGTAAAGTGGCATAATAAGGTGAGCAACATTGAGGTTAGGCGTAGAGTTCTAGGTAAACAGGGGAAATCAATCGACGAAGTCGTGAAGCTACAAAGACTGAGATGGTTAGGACATGTGTTACGTATGCCAAGTCATCGCCTCCCTCGACGAGCAATGTTAGCGGATATAGGGTCAGGCTGGAAAAAAGCTAGCGGCGGTCAAACAAAAACTTGGCATCAGTCAATGAAATCCACAACAGTTGGTCTAAGCCACGTAGGAAGGTGTAGACTTCCAGGCTGGGGTCCTCGGGACGGTAAAAATCTATGGTTGGAAACAATTGGTGACATGGCTCAAAATCGTTCTCAGTGGCGCAGATGCATCCACTCCCTGTGACTTATGATTTCCAATGAAACTGTTTTGTTCTTCGTTATTACTCCTTTGTCTCACACCTCTGCTCACTGTTTCTATTATGCTTTTCTTCTACTTTCTTCTCTTGCTTCGCGTGCTACACGGAGTGTGGCGACTTGAACTTCCGCACATTTGTGCAATGTTCTATGTCGAAAACAGACAGACAGGGACAGAAGTAGGTAGCCAAGCAGAACACCGGTGGTAGGAACTGAACTTCTATCTAAGCTCAGTGCCACCGGATACACGATTGATGAACTCGGTCTCAAAATGCCTGTCTAGTGTTAATACCGCTTCTAACCACCTAACAAGTACTACTGTCTGGTATGAATGGAGTAGTGTGTACTATGATGAAAGTTTGCTAGCCTTCTTTATTGCTGTTTATGGTATGAAGTGGATCACCTGTTTTGATCACTGTTGAGCGGGCATCTTTTCCTTTTATAAATAAATAAGTAAAATAAGATTCTTTTTTTCTCCTTAATACTGATTTCATGTTTGCATGTTTGTTTTCTTTTCAAATTCTCTTCTTTTATAGGGTCTACCTTTTCAACATGGTGATATTCTGCATGTTGTCAACGCTAGCGATCGTGAATGGTGGCAAGCTAGACGAATATCTTTAGCATCTGATGTTGAAAATGCTCAACCTGTCGGTTCAACTTATTCTACTAACAAAAATAATAGTAATTACAATAGTACGAGTACTCAGATGCATACACCTACACTTACTACCACTACTACTACTACGTTTACTGGATTGGGTATTATTCCCAGCTGTCAGCGTATCGAAAGACGTCAGAAGACTCGATTAAAACGTGTAAATTTCGTTGGCAAAGTAACTGTAATTGGTGCAACACCTTATACACATTCTACTTCCTCTTCAAATCCATCTGTTGTCAATTCGACAGCACCTCTGTCATCACCGTGGGACATAAGTAATAATATTTCTACTACTGTGAACAGTAATAATAATAACAATTGTAATAATAATAATAATAATGGAAGTAGGATTACTGATTTCTCAGGCGGTTCAAATAATTCGAATCTCTTGAGAAATAATTCTTTAGATGTGAATGCAAGAGATAGTTCACGCAAAATGTCTATTGGTTCAGAAACGAGTAACAATGGTAAGTAATTGGGAATTACAGTTATTTACAATATTCATACCATTTTAACTCATTATTTAATTGGTGTACTACTAGAATTAACTTAACATACTTTCGGTTCCTCATAAATTGACATATTATTTGGAAAAACTAAAAGTCGGTTGATTTGTTATCCTGCAAAACAAATATACTAAAAAAAGGTGAGGCGAGGAGTTCATTTTTCCTGAAAAACAGAAATTCGACTTTAGCATACTTACAGTACCCTATCAAAATCGGAGTACTGATGTCACACAACTTTTTCGCACGAAAGCATATTATAAGGTTAAGAAGTAAAGTGGTTCAGGAAGTTAGTTCGTTCACTGGTTCTGGGAGAGAGGGTGGAGTGAGCAATTTGGATTAGCTGTGCAATCAGCTAGTTGTCTTAGAAATCTGAGCGTAGGAAAGCAAGAGTCAGGATTAGCACTTGAAAATTTATACTGTTGAGGTATCTAGGTACAAATGGAAGAGTAAATTTAGTATATTGTTCCCATATACCACATGCTACAGCTCTATGGCTCTTATTTACAATAAATGTGTCTGAAATGTACGTTGGTTTTATATCTTTTTAGCTTTTCTTTACATGTGTTTAGACGTTAAAGAAAGGAGGCAGTGAACGTCCATTGAGTAAAGTATCTTTTGGTTTGGTGACATGAAGGTTCCCCCCGGTTGAAAGAAAGGCTATTTTCCCAAACTGTCAAAGAAGTGACTTATGTCTATCCAATAAGTGGCGTCAAACCATATCCTCATCCATTCTAAACAAAATACTAAGCCGCATCATTTTGACGAGACTAAAAGACGCTTTGGATGGAAAATTTCTTCTGGAACAAGCTGCCTTCAGGAAAAGCAAATCATACGTGAATCAAATGGCAACATTATACATCAACACCTAACTGAGTCTAGAATGTCAGTCAACTTCCCACTTCAGCTTCTTTGACTTTGGACTGGCCTTCAACACTATGGAGTGCTGCACATTTTGATAAACCTCATTCAACTGCTTTGCAATGATACTACATGCCGTGTAATTCACAACGATAAACCCACCGACACGTTTGAATTGAAGGCCGGAGTAAGAGAAGGCTAAATACTATCGCCGCTATTCTTCGTTATTGTAATGAACTGAATCATACGGCAGACTGTGCGAAGGAAATGAGAAGATGGGTATTCGGTAGACCGACAGAAAGACTCAAGGAAATCTGGATTTCGTGGATGACTTATGTCGCATAAATTTGAAGGTCTGCAGGTGAAAACCGACCTGTTGTCAGAAAGGGCAACGAACGTAGGGCCTCAGGTAAAAATAGGGAAGACAAGTGATTAAGATGACCAACGGCTAACAATAAGCTGCAAGCCCTGTGTTCCACTAGGGACACAAGGAACTAATAATAATATAACAATTTTGAGTATTGTTTGATCCTTTATTTTATCTTCTTGTGAAATGTGGTAGTTCTCTGACATATCTGTCTCTCTGTCTTCATTGCCAACGTACTCATTGTGAATATATATGCACTTTAGAATGTTACGGTAGTCACTTACTAATTGTTTTTCACTCTGATTACTCTTCACTAATGAATTGTTTTCGTTAGATTATTTGAAGTTCAACTTCCTTTTATTTTCTTCCTAAAAATCCCTTTTTTTCATGGTCAAACAGATCCTAGCAAAAAAAAGAGATCAAGCAGTTTGACAAGAAATCTGTTCAAATGTTTTTCTCATCGATCTATCAAAAATGATTCAGTCGGTGGTGTTATGACGATTACGCGGACAGGATCGTTGGATACAGTGAATCAGAGTTAGTTTAGACTAAATATTGTTGTATTGTTTGCTTATATTTGCAAACTACTTGCCGTGTTTTGTTTTCATTGGTCTTAAACAAGAGTTGATGTTTTTTAATCCGACAGCAGATTACGCTTAGTATGTATCACTTAGTATTTATGTTCTCTTTCTTGAAGACATTTTGTCCTGTTAAGTAAATTATGTATTGTAATATGTTCAATGAAGATGTGATACAATTTCAGGTTGATCTGGTTTTTCTTTTTTTAATGATGTGTTTTAATAGGTTTTGTAGTTTTGTTGATGTTACAGTCTTCTCTTCGTCTAATTTGAATTCAATGGATGTTGGTTTAGAATGCGAAACTTATGTCTCAGTGTCATCAAGGGTAAAACAGATGAGTGATATATTAAAAATATCGTAAAAATCCCTTTAAGTGCTACTTGGTTTGAAGTGACTAGCTGTGATCTTCAGGCTTAGATTTCGTGTTTTATTGACATTTATCAGCCAGGCTTGTATCGGTTAATAGATTGAGATTGATATATGATCCGGTATTATATACAGAAACACTACGAATGTGGTTTTTGGTCGTCGATCGCCTAAACGGATGATTTCATTCTTGAACATCAAACGTCTTCAACAACACAAATAAAAGTGTTAATTGGATTAAAAAGAGGAGGAAGAAGAAGAAGGCATAACATAAACTTCGAAAGTATCACTTTTATTGTCGACAACTAGCATTGATCACATCCTGTTAAACTCATTAATAATAACCTCAGACGAACAACTTAGATTATTGTTTAAAATTCCATTATTTCAGGTTACAACAAAACAGTGAAGGGAAATGGTATGACATTTCACTGGAAAAATATGCATGTTGGCGAAAATACACTTTTTAAGTGGAAATAAATGCAGGTGTTTATAGAAACTTATATATTTTCCAATTTATTTTGGTTTATTGGATGTATTAAGAAAACAAAACAAGGCGGTCACTTTCTCAATGGGATCGTTGAAAGAAATTCAGGCTTTTTGGGTTCGTTGGCAATTCGATTCATTTCAATGTAGACTTTGTCATAAACCGACATCAGTTAGAGAATCATTGAAAACTACTGAACCTTTTGGTCATGTGTTTCGTCATAATTCGTGACTTTTCATCGGGTTTTTCACTTGGTACCTAAAGTTCCTGGGCTTATGAATGTGGCCTTTGTTTACAGAAAGAAATGGTGATTACTTTGAATTTCTCATGGTAGTATCTTTTACTTTGCTAACTGTTATAATCGAGTTACTTAATATAACCGATAGGATTGAGTTAAGGTCAAGTCAAATTGAAAGACGGTCTAGTTAATTATCCTAAGGGGTAGAAATATAGTGGTAGGAAAGGAGAATAATAATAAAACTAAAAAATTAAATAGATTACACATCAAATGTTGTGATGCGTCGGTTGCACAACGGTAGAATGCTCGCCAACCACACAGGTGGTTCGGGCTTCGATCCCCGGCCGACGCCCCCCCCCCTTTTACCTGGCTAAGCCAGTAATAAAACTGGTAAAGAGGGAAGGTTGAGGGTGATGTAAGCAGCCCCATCCCGTAAAAATAAACACCACTGTTACTGAAACTCCAAAGCTCTAGCTTGAAGCCCTATGTTCCACTGGGAACGTAAAGGAATAAAAAATCAAATGATGTAGTTTGATGAGCCCTTGTTTTCGCCTTTCCCACTACGACACTGATCATAACTTGACCCTCTTTCAGTTTTAGTTGACCTTTGCTCAATCCTTTCAGTTACATTAGGTCACTTATTATACCGATATTCAAGAAGGGAAACAAGTCCTCGTGTGATAATCATAGGGGGATCAGCCTAACGAACATAGTCTCTAAAATCCTAGGCTCAATAATCATGCATAGACTAAGCAGAACTCGGGAGGAACAGACAAGGGAAAATCAAGGAGGCTTTAGACCAGGTAGAGGGTGCATAGATCATATCTTCACTCTTCGACAGATTCTAGAACATAGACACACTTTTCGGTGTCCAACAATTGTCATATTTCTTGACTTGAAGGCGGCCTTCGACTCCGTGGATCGAAAGGTACTATGGCAATGTCTGACTGTGAAGGGAGTGCCAAGAAAATACATTGCACTAATCAAGGCACTCTATTCAAACTCACGTAGTCGTGTAAGGGCTTATGGGGAATTGTCATCTGAATTGGTAACAACCAGTGGTGTCCGACAGGGATGTCCACTTTCCCTATTTCTGTTTAACTTCATCATAGATATGCTGATGGAAGTATCCTTAACTGAACATAATGACTTAGGAATCGACTTGTTACCAGGGAATAATCTTATGGACTTAGAATATGCAGATGACATAGTCCTGTTAGGGGAGGATGCTGACAAAATGCAGAGTTTTCTGAACACCTTGAGCAGCAATCTTCGTATGTTTGGCATGCGATTCGCCCCTATAAAATGTAAGATGCTGCTACAGGACTGGACCACGTCAACTCCTAACTTAGTGATAGGGAGTGAAGTGATAGAACATGTTGACCACTTCACCTATTTGGGAAGTTGTATTAGCACTAACGGACTGATTGGCGACGAAATCTCAGCAAGGATCCGAAAAGCTCGAGCTGCTTTCGCTGACTTACACCATCTCTGGCGTAGGCGTGACATCCGGTTACCAACCAAGGGACGTGTGTACTGCTCATCAGTTCGCTCCGTCCTTCTCTATGGCTCTGAAACATGGCCAATACGCGTTGAAGACATGAAAAGGTTGAGTGCTTTCGATCATAGATGTCTGCGATCTCTGTCTCACGTTAGGTGGTTTCACAAGGTAAGTAATGTTGACGTTAGGCGTAGAGTGTTGGGCAAAGAGGGAAAATCAATCGACGAGGCTATAAAGTTACATAGACTAAGATGGCTAGGTCACGTGCTGCGCATGCCTAACCACCGCCTCCCCCGACGGGCATTGCTAGCTGATATAGGTTCAGGTTGGAGAAGAGCCAGTGGTGGCCAAACAAAAACATGGCATCAATCCATGAAATCCTTGACAGTTAAACTGAGTCAGGTAGGGAGATGAAGACTCCCGGGTTGGGGCCCTCGGGACTCTAGGAATCAATGGCTGGAGACAATAGGTGACATGGCTCAAAATCGTTGTCAATCGCCAGCGCAGATGTATTCAGTCTCTGTAATCTTTCATATTCCTTTCTACCATTACCCATTCTGTTTCACTCTTATACTTGTCAGACTGTATTGATTCTCTTCACTCATCTTCTTGTCTACCTCTGTGTGCTATTTGGAAGGTGGCAACTTGAACTGCTGCACTTCGGTGCCAATTTCTATGTTGATTCCAGCCAGCAGCCAACAATAGGTCACTCAATTTACCTATTTAACTTCATATTAGTTTCTGTCCGATTAATGCTTTCTGTCTTAAGTAATAGATATCTAAGAACTACAATTTTACCCGTTGTAACTACTGTTTCACTTTATTCCATCTATTATTATTATTATTATTACTGTCTTAATTAGAAATTTTGCTGTTAGGTATGTTGAACCTAAGTTTCGTGCTCGTTGGCACTAGTCAGCAAGGTGTATATGCAATCTTGAAGGAACTTATATCGCTTCTGAGATTCGAACCCGTGTCACTCAGTGCTACAATCGGAGATGTTACTATTGAGCTATACGGATTCATGATTGACCTCCTGTAGGCCTGTAATGAATACTTTGACTGGACATCAGGTAGTAACTAATATCATATGTCCAGGAGTTCGTTGGGTGCAAAGTGAATTCTATCAATCAAGTTAGCAATGTGAGCACCCTTCCAACTTATGCCGGTCTGAATTTGGCTGGTAAAACATTTCCACCTTTCGGGTGGCTATGATTGATTCGATGTAGTTTATTTATTAGTTAAATATCTCCTCATGTATCTTTCATAGTATGTAACAGCTCTGTATTATTCATTCGAGTAGGTCCACCGACGTCTAATGAATTTATTTAATCCTACCTTTTCAGGTCCATAGTCGAAATGTAATAAATAACAAAATACAGTTACGTAATACAAGCGAGGAACCGAAACAGAAAAACAACAACAACACTAATTAAGCAGAAAGTTAAGATAATCAACCTAATTAAGTCATAATTATTTTCTTGAGAAAATAGACCACTAATGATAACTGTTGCAAAGACAAGTCGAATGGCTTGAAATTTTTGACTGCTAATGCCTTAACCATGCCCTTTGAGAGGTGTGAAAGGAGTTTGGATAAAATTTTGAAGGATTTCTCTAATAGAGTGTAGTGACCTTGTTTGTTTTTAATTTGTTTTGGTGAAGTAAATTTTTCCGACGTCGAGATTTTCACAATTATGGATCATATATATATATATATATATATATATATATATATATATATATATATATATATATATATAGCGTGCATTCAAATCTCACCTAACAGACAACACTTCTTATGTAAATCATTTAATAATATCTTTCGTTTGTCAGTTCTTTTACTTACCTTCTGCAGTTTGCTGTCGTCTTTCGTTGATACCATTCCTTTTGTTTATTGCAGACTACAGACCACTGTTATGTGTCTGAATGTTATTTGTTCTGTGCTTGTTTGTGTCCTCTTACGTAAGAAGTTAATGAAGTATTAAGAACACCGATAGAGAAGTGTGATCGTTTTGTTTATCAGTCCGTTCCGTCTGAATTTATGCCTGTTATTACGCATAATAGTCCTAAGGCTGCTGAGGTTAGTAGACCTGAAGTCCTTTTTAGACAATATCTATCTTGAGAAGTACTGTGGAGTTTACCACTGACAGTAATTTTTAGGCACGGATCTTGATGAATAGCTGAACACGCAGGAGAAATAAGGATAACAGAAAGCATGAAATGAAAACGAAAGAAACAGAATACGAGTACTTCTTACAGAATGGCGTTTCATTTTGCCAGATAAACAATTCCTCTACCATATACCTCTGTGTTGTTCCACAATGTACTTTTACATTTCAGTAATTGAATTTATGACACTAAATGAAACGAGTAGCTTGGTCAGCGAGACTTATTATGTTGTATGCCTCCATTTTGATGGATGGGATGTTATATTACAAAGCCTACATCATTGGTTGCCTCATCCATCGGTGACCGATGTCGACTGTATATAAGTTGGACGAAAAATGTCCTCAGACTAATGAATAAAGTTTTTATTTGAATTTGTTGCTTTATATATTGCTTAGTGAAATGTAGACAATCTTTTGAATTCCTCAAGGAGTTAGTTTTTCACTCATATATTTTGTTTAGAATCGATTGTAATGGCGTAATGATGTGTATGTATATTCATATCTGTATATTATTTGGCTGTTGTTATCTTGTAGCTATTTTTTTTCATTTATTGCTTCATCTTTCTATTTTCTCCTGTTTTTGTTGTTGTTGTTAATTTTCTGTTTTGTTGTATCGAGAACTTTTTTCCGCTTGAATCGTTTCACTTGTGCATAGATTTCTGTTTTTGCTTGCGCCTGTCCACTTATAATATGTATGTGTACCTATGTATACTCTCAAATTTCTGCTTGGTAAACTAGTGTATAGCAAATTAACATTAAGTGACAATGAGTAGTGTGTTTCATTATTTTTATTATCAGGTTTATAAGTTATTGTTTAACACACAGTTTGACGTAGTATCAAATGCTTCACAAATGTGCTCACTGGTCTGGTGAATAAGGCCTTGCAGTTTGGAACGTTGAATTATTAGCGAGTATACTACCGCATACTATTGGGATGCGGGTGTATTCGGTTGACAACTATGTCACAAGTGAGATAAAGTTCGGTGTCCTGGATTCCACTGCTATGTTTTATATCCATTCCTTTGCATTCCGAATGGAATATGGCGTTTCAGGTCGGAGTTTTGAAGTTTCGCTAGTGCTGGTTTTGTTTTTACGGGGGTAAGTTTGCTAGCTACACACTCAACCTTCACTCTTTTTGCGTGGCTTACTTCTGGTTAGGCGGGGTTTGGGATTGCGTCAGCTGTGGCACGAACCCTGACCACATGCATCGTTGGTAAGCGTTTTACAATTGAACCACCAACACATGATTCCAATGTTGATCCGAATCAATTAAATAAATTAACTACAAGTATTTCCTGCTTGGAAATGGTAACTGACTGATGACACAATATGTTTCAGTTTTACCGTGCTCATATTGTTACATGAAGAAAGATATGATTTTTTTTCAACTATGGTTCAATCTTCAAGAATAATTTGTTAAGATGTTCTCACTGATTGATTATGTTGAATATACTATGTCTATATTTGGGGTGGTGTCCCACCTATTGTATTCTGTTTGACTTGTGTATTTTGTTCGTAACTGTTTAGAAATCATACCTATATTATCGTACTTATCTTTTCCGTATGTGTATCCAGTAAATTTAATTTTATTCATTAATTAAATATTGCCATTTGATCAACTCATTTAATATACTTTGCAAATGTCTGTTCGTAGTTAGATCAAAAACTGAAATCAGCTAAGAAATCACCTTCAACGTGGGGGTACTCAAATAGCTTTTTTGTCCCAGTTTGGGACTCTCCAGAAGTACACATACATGACCACCTCACCTGATGTAGAAATCAGGACCTTCCGGTTGCGAGGCCAGCCCGTTGACCATTTAGCCATCGGGACCGAGTCTAGTGACCCATGAGTTCTAACATCTGGGAATTCGCGACACACTGTCAACCAATATGTGTAGCATCTTTTTTTCACGTCTGTCTGGTTTCAACATAGATCTTTGCACTGATGTGCAGCAGTTCGAGTCGCCACACTTCACTCAGCACACAAAGTCAGAGAAGAAAGTAAAAAGAAATGCAAAATAGAGACGGTGAACAGATATATGAGACATAAAGAATAGTAACATCGAAGAACAATACAGTTTTATTGGAAATTATTAGTCACGAGGAGTGGATGCATCTGCACCAGCCATTGAGAACGATTTTGAGCCATGTAACCAATTGTCTCCGGCTATTGGTTTTTACCGTCGCGAGGACCCCAATCAGGAAGTATACATCTTCCTCTGTGGCTGTCTTGAACTAACTGTTGTGGATTTCATTGATTGAAGAAGCCATGTTTTGGTCTGACCACCACTGGCTGTTTTCCAACCTAATCCATCCTATGTCAGCAAGCATTACCCGCCGGTCGAGGAAGGCGATGGGTGGCTAGAAATGCATGCGTAATACATGTTCTAACCATCTCAGTCGATGTAGCTTCACAGCCTCGTCTATTGATTTCCCCTCCTTACCTAGCACTCGACCAACACCTTACCTTAATATTGCTTACCCTATTGTACCATTTCCCATAACTATAAAAACTATCCTAATGAACACACTATACAGCCATTATATGTGTTCACATTTTGCATCTGATTGGTTATATATTTTATTCATGAGAAAAAATGGTTTTTGCGAGAATATTTTACAATGAATATTAAAGGCATTGAACTTTTTTTTCAACTTTTCATAGCCCCATTCGTGACTAGCAATCCGTCTAAACCACTTGGTTACCTGAATTTCGACCTAGCACAAAGCATTATATTTTGTCTAATTCTTGTTGTTTTAACCATTCAGTCAAGTACTTGAGTCGCAGAATGCATCAATGCTCATTTTTTGATTGACTTTCGACGTACCGGTGCTTATTATTCGGGGACAGAGGAAAAATACGGTGGGGGATTGGTCTGTGCTTCAAATCGAACAGCACTGAGTCACATGGCATGCTGTAGATTGCTATTTTACTTGAAGATCTTGGATGAAAGAAAAGTATTATGCAGTAAATTACTCTGAGCATTCTGTATATTGTACAACCATTTTGTCCCGAATAAGATTATTATTATTATTATTATTATTATTATTATTATTATTGTATTTAACCGCCTCCACTTTAAAAGGTAGTCTTTCACACATTTGGATATTGTTTTCGCTTTCCTTTTTCTGAAATAGATCGATATCCTGCTGTACGTAGTTATGATCTTGTTGTCCCAATCACAATATCAATGTCACGTCCTTTAATACTCTTTGGACCGTTAAAAGACCAAATATTTGATGAATTACTATTAAAAGACATTAAATATACAACATGTTTACTACGTAAGTATTTTTAATTTTATACACTGTAGTATATATGAGTTTGCTAGTAATTCAGTCATGTTTTATCTTTCTAAAAACTCTGGAGGATTATCGTAAACCACTTTAAAATGTTAGAAATAATTTTCATGTTCTTATTATGCTAGTTAAAGAACACTGGGCACTAGATTTTACCATTCAGCATGCTAACATAAGTCACCAGAATTTTGAATGCTTTTTCTTGCGAAGTGTACAGCTTAGGGGACTGTCATCACAAGTTTTCTTTCAGTGATATTTGTATTTCTGCGGAAAACAGATATTCCTTTCGTGGGCCTCATCTGTCACAAATATTTCTTCCCGGGGATATTATCACCTTTGTTTGTACTGCTGTCTTTATTGTTATTGCTATATTTGGTCCTCATAATCCCATCAATGTAACCTGTGTGGCTCAGGTTAACAGTCAGTGGCTTTATGAATAAGTACCATGTTTCATTCTGACCGCGTTATATCTGATCTTATTTCAGGTAGCTATTTGTCATAGAGTAAGGCAGGGACTCTTGCGAGATGCGTGTTCTAGCCGTCTTAATCAATGGAGCTTCATAATCCTACTAATAATGTATCTTTTTACGCCTACCTCATTATTACTGACTATATTGCACCACCTTATAGACAAGGGTGTAGTTGCGAATCACTGACCTTTTCATATCTTCCACTTTCAATAATCAGGTCGTATAACCGTTGAATAGAATGGAGCCAACTTATAGACAGATATCATGCCGGTGCAAAAAATGACACAAGCAGATGAATGCCAGACGAGCCTTTCATATCAGGAATGAAGTTTTGTTAACGATCATTCCAACAGCGTTGATACATCACCAAAATAAATGAAGTGGTGAATAAATTCACCCATTTTCCTGTCTATCCCTAAAGTTTGGAGTTGGTACCGACCGGTCTCCTCATCAATATATATATATATAGGTGGGTGGGTAGGTGGAGCTGTGAATCTCACCCCAAATATATACTGAGATTTCTGCTTAAGGTGTTCAGACTTTACAATTTGTCAGCATCTTCACACCGAAGCGCTATGTCATCTATATACTCTAGATTAACAAGTCTCTTGCCAGGTAACAGGTCTATCCCTAAGCCATGGAATTCTGTCAGGGTTACACTAATTATTATGTCTCCAATGAAATTAAGTAAAAATAACGCCACCGGGTATCCTTGACGGATACCACTGGTTTTCATCATTCAGAGGTGATAACTTTTTGTAGGCTCTTACTTGAGTTCTATCAGAGTCCTGGTAAATTCGCTTGTATTCCTGAAAATGTATGAGGCTGTAAAAGAAATAAGTAACGCAGTCAATTTATAATGTAATGCCATACCATTGTTGCGTTATATCATGTCCCGTGCTTTCATTTATAGTAAGTGCCCTATTATAAATTACATTTATACATTAACCATCATATAGAAGACATAATTTTCTAATCAGTTTGAGTAAATTAATAATTAATAAATTTTTTAAAAATGCTATCATTACCATTAGTGATATTCTTTGTCTGTTGATAGACACTAGTAGACCACAAAGACCGAATGAACGTAATGGTATTGATTATTACTTTGTCACTTCGAAATCCACAATGGAAGAGGATATTAAACAAGGCAAATATATTGAAATCAATAGATTCCAGGATAATTATTATGCAATAAGTTTAGATACAATTCGTTCTACCCTACAATCTGGTCAAATATGTATCTTAGACGTTGGATTAGATTCAGCAAAGTACTTAGATGTAGGTTTATCTATCTGCGGGTTTTTGTTTTTTCTGCAATCAACTTTTAATATTTTCATTTCTAAATCATAATTGTATTCATTTTTATTGTTTGCGACCCATGATATCATTGTACACGTGTTAAATTTTTAACAAGTCAATGAATTGCAGTCAACATTATTCACAGAAAAATTAGATTAGTTTAACGAAAAGTGAATAACCTTGTCCGCTTCTATGCTTTAATTTTTAATTCCAACAAAATGTTTGGAATGAATGGAACTGTAGAATTCATAACGTGGCTGATGATGACGCTCGCCTTTCATATGCACACTACATAAAATTTGTTAACTGTGCACGGTATGTAAAACAATCAAACATCTTATCGTCATTGGAATCCTTCAGTAATCAGTCTATCGTTAGTTAGGTGTGTTTTCTAAATGGTGAGTGAATTCATCTGTTGCCGGTTTATTTAACTATCTTTATAGTTATACGTCATCACTAGACAAGCCCTCGAGTGGAACCCGAAAGGGAAGCGGCGAGTTGGTCGTCCAAAGGTGACTTGGAGGAGGTTATGTGAAGAGGAGATGAAAGCATGTGGGGAGACTTGGAGCTAGGTGAAAAAGTTGGCAGAAAACAGAAGGTAATGGAGACGCGCAGCTGAAGCCCTTTGTTCCTCTAGGAATTAAAGGATATAATAATAATAATAGTTATACGTACAACGTTAATATTTTGTTGCCTCTTTCTAAAGTGAAAACTTGATTTCGATTTTTTGATTTTCTAATATATGTTCAGAGTCTCAACATATATTTCCTCAGTGATGGTTTGCGGTTATGCAGTTTTTTTATGTTCACCATCGGTTGAGGTGCTGACAGTCACCAAGAAATACGACATCAAATGTTTATGGGGAAGAGTGTAAGATGTAATTACCATTGCCGGTGGCACAGCAGTTAGGACGCTTGCCGACCATGCACATGGCCCGGGGTTCGATCCCCGGTCGACGCACTCCTTTACCTTGCTAAGCCAGCTGGTAAAGAGGAAAGGTTGGGCATGAGGCTAGTGACCCCATCCTGTAAAAATGAACACTGCTACAGAAACTTCAAGCCTCTAGCTTGAAGCCCTATCTTCCACTGGGAACGTGAAGGAATAAAAAAAACCCATTGTCAAGTCGTCAGATCACCAGCACGGGACTTCATAGATTTTTCGAAAATCAGTTTGCCGCTTGAATAATGCCTGAATATTCTTTCCTAAGGTTTATTAATATGTGAAAGTCATCTTATGCTTCATTCAATTTATAGTTGTTGGTTATATGTATGTGAGGGAGTTCAAGGGGTTGCATGTGTGGATGACAGTCTTTCCCATATTCGAACACATTGACTGTCAACTTGGTACGCCTGAGCAAGCAATTAGCATTTTACCCTTAGAACTTCATACTAGCTAGTTTCTCTATACGATTATTGTGTATCTCACAGAGCCAATATATTGTTTAAATGAGTTTCAGTAGATAACGGTGTTCTGATGTTGTCTAGATAAGTTGTTCTTTTATCCAACTTCCTAAATGACTTCATTATTGTAAAACTCTTATTTATCATTCATCAATTCAGCTTAAAAGCATGAATGCATGAATTACAATTTTTCATTACTACTCTTCACAAACTGTGTTCAAAGTTCTAATAGATTACTTTCTTAATTCAAAGGAAATTGGTCTGTTCCCCATAACAATCCTGCTGAAACCCAAATCTATTACACATTTACGTGTGCTGCAGCGTAGGCTAACTGAAGATCAGGCAAAACGACTAATGGAGTCAATACAACACATTGAAGATGAAAACTGGCGATTTCTTTCGGGTAAGAAAGACATATATATATATATATATATATATATATATATATAATTTTCGTGTTAGTGACTCTGTTTATTGCTCTTTGATACTTCATAGACTTAAGCATGAATTACTATATATGTCCAAACCAAGTTCACTTTTAACGGTTTGAAAAAAATTGGGCATCGGGTATATGATATTCATTGTAATAAAGGTTTTTTTTTAATATTTCCCAATGAATGAAAAACAAAACGATATTGTTTTTACTGACGTTTCACTATTTAATGCTAATAGCTTGATATTTGGTTTGAACGATCTTCATTGTTATTTTGACTTTCAATATGTCCTTTCAAGTTGAACTGAGTCTATATTTTTTCTCACCCCTTAACTCTCTGTTATATATATGCTGAGATTTTGTAAATTCCGGTTTAATAATATTAAGCATGAATTACTAGTTGGAGATTCATCCGCAGTACGCGTTCACTAAGGTTCGAACCCATCACCGTCGAGTTACAAGGCAACCTCGTAAGCCACTCAGCCGATGGGACCCGAATCAATGACCAGCCCATGAATTTTAATTTCCACCAATTCGTGATTTTAGCGCGACCATTAGCCAGTGTCGTTATCGAGTATTTGTTCTCACTCTCGACCGGATGAAACCCACTGGTCACGACTTTTCATGGAAAACTCCAAGCAGCTTCATCCTGTAGAGTCAGTCACTAAAAAAAAAAATACTAACGAGCACCAGATTAATTTTCAAAAGTTAATTTGTAAGGATTTCATTCGCTTCAAGTTTGACCACGGATTGTTATCAGCTAGGGAGCCAAAGGAGACCGGGGAGTTTCGTCCCTGTTTGGGTCTCATCATCAGTACACACGTACAGAGATTCGAACCTAGGACCTTCCGGTGGTCAAAATTAAAACGAATCAAATCTCCACATACCAACTCTTGAAAAAAACATGTTCACCACACTAGTCGAGATGTATTTATGGATACTCTGTTATTTAGCTTTTTTAGTCATTGGTTTATAAGCTTATAGTTTCCTTTAAAACAGTAAGTCTGTATTGCCTGGTGTATTTTTCATTTCAGCTAGTTAATCAGAATTCTGTTGCCTCCTGATCAGATTCTCGTTTGTGTGTATGCGCATAAAGCTACGTGTATTGTATGTTGGCTAGAGATACTATGGTATTCGACTCAGTCACCCAGGTTGTGTATTACATAATTTACTAGTTAGCACACCTGTTTTTTGTTCGTTAGTTTCGATAAATAATGTTCAGTGTTTAGTTTTCTATTTGAATTTTGGACTTCTTTCAAGAAATTATTAGAGTCCTGATATATATATATATATATATATATGTCTTGATTGATAAACACGTGAGTTTTTTTGTGCTTATTCACAGCTGTCAGGTTGTATTTTTTTTTAGAAAAAAAGGTTTAGGTGTTTTCTGTATGTTTTTTTTTTAAAAAAAGACGCATATGTTGTTGTATGTAATTAGGATTAAGGTCAGTCTTGTTGTGGATAAATAAGTAAGTGGTGTATTAGCAGATCGATTAGTGTACAGTCGATGGGTAAATATTATATAATGATAGAGAAAAGGTTTCAGTTTTTTTTTTGAACTTTTGTATTCTGTTTAAGAAGGTGAATTACATATGTGTAAGCGGATAGAGATATAGTCACACATACACGTACACGTTCACTCTCTCTCTCTCTCTCTCTCTCTCTGCGACTATATACGCGTCGATATACAGTCAATACTTAGTAAAATAACTATTGGGCATTCTGTAATGTGGTATAAATTCATAGTTTGGAACTTGTTTTTTTTTTTATGTCAATCTTATCACTTACATTACTAAAGGAGAAATGTATAAGTCATGATTGACGTTAACTGTTTGTTTCTAAATATTGTATAAATGTACACCGTTGGTAGTGTGGTGGTTTCTGTGCATATGAAGTCATAGAGTTGGACTAATAGGGCTAAACATAGAGAAGAAATTTCTAGCAGAAGGAGATAACAGTTTGTTTTTCCCCCCAATGGTTTTATCACTTCCAATAATTATTCAAATTAGTGGTTTCACTGTCGACTGAAATGTGTTTTCCTATCCGATCAATATGCTTTCCTGTTTACAAACTGTGAGTAAATAATAATAATATCTGTGAGGCGAACATATTCTGTAAGCACCGATGGTTACTTTTCATTTGCCCGAGATTAAGTAGATGGAGTGGGATGTGAACATGTGACTTACCGGCTTGAAATCGAGTGTGTAGGCCAATGAACCACAAGATAGGAGAAGGTTGATTTTTTTTATCAGTATACAGTGAAGCTTAAAAGCTCGGTTTACAGGTAACAGTCACGTGTCTGAGTCCCGCTGCACCTGTTTCAGCCTGGGTAACCTGGTAATATCACTGGCCTCCACACAATTGTGGCTCTCAGACTGGAACATGAAGGATCTGTCATAGGTAGTTGAGCTTAAACACCTTACACTTCACTTCATTTCTTTGACAGTCTGATGACCTTTGTGTAAAATTGGAAGTATGTCCAAATTGTCTTTTTGATGAATGAGTTAACGGGTCGGTTATAATTATAATAATAATTATTATTATTATTGCGTTCAGTACAGTAGAAATATTCCCTTCATATGGTGAGTATAGTAAATGTAGTATTGTAGTATTAGAGATCATTGCTTAAAGAGATACCATGAACAGTAACAATCTTTCCGTCTGCATAGTTTTATTTTAGCATTATTGTTTACCATACCTATGTAATGCATGTTGTTATCATTACGTTTATGGTTCATTGTCTTTCCTTTTCGAAATCTGTGTTTTTAGCTATTATGACATATGAGAGTGTAGAAAATCTCTTGACTTCAATTCACAAATTTGTACAACTTCATAGTGGCCCTGTGATTTGGGTACCATCCACCTTGTCTGTAACTAATCCCGATGTTCAGTGTCCAACTGGTACGTCTACTATAAATCATAATCAAATAATAATTGGAAATAATAATCAAAATATTAGTGCCTTACTGCCACCGGCACCACAGCCTGTGGCAGCGTCATCCTCTTCTGTAAATGCCACCGTCAATTTCAAACAATACAACAACAATAGTAATAACATACAAAACCCTTCAACTCGCTTCGGTGTTTGATTTCGTTTGGGATGCAGGAAAATAGGCAGTTCAAAGTAATCAGAGGGAAGAAACATCTTTGTGTGCATGTTACAGTTGTTTTCTTTCCTCCCCCACCGCTTTCCCCCTTTGTTCACACAGCCGTTCCCTTTTCTCTTTTAGTTCTAATTCACCATCTTCGTGCTTTTGCTATCTGCCTTCTGTTTCTTTCTTCTTCTCTGTTGTTTCTTTTCCTTTTATATTGTTTTCCACTTGTTATCTTAATAAGAGGTTATTATGATTATTACTATAGTGATGTACTACTTTTTGCTTGTCAAACTTATACACTGCGATTTCTTTCGTTTTGGACTTGTCTTTTTCCTTTTTTGATGATCTCCAAAATATCGCATTAAACCTGTTGTATGTTTGGATGTGTCTATCAGTGTTATTATTGCTAGCCTACTCTTGACTCACAGCAGCAGCAATATGGCTACATAAATTGGTGATTATTTTCATTACTATTGGTATTATCGTTATCACTGTTACTTTTACCTGTCACTTATTTTGTGTATACGGGAGTACGTGTGTATTCTTCCGTGTTACTCTTCCTAAGCTTTATGTTTGTTGTCAGCTCGTGATAATAAGGATTATCATAATCTGAAAATGGGATTTATTAATGCCAGAGTTGTGATCTTCACGTATTCAGTCTGTCTAATTGAGTCACGTATATATATATATACATATATATAAAACACATAACACATATATCTGTGAGAAATGAATATGTTGACAAAGTAACGATTATTATTATTAATGTTTATATTCGCTTAACTGCATTCTTCCCTTATAATGTAGAATTGTGATCAGTAAATACCACAGTCTTGGTATTTTACCTCTGTTACACTAATACTACTCTGTTCTACTACAACAAATTATAGTTCAACTGTGTTATCCTTGTAGGCTTGATACCTATAATTTCCACTTTCATTTCATGTTGCTGGCATCGAATTCGATAATTCTATCAACAGTAATAATAATAAAGCTTTCGTTTGCTTACAATGTACAATTTATACATGAAAATAAAGAAGATAAAATTAACTAGACACAGGATTTTGGTGTGTTTTTGAGTGTGAAAACGACCTATTCTTTTCCCGCAAAAATATCTGTTAATTGTTACATTTAATGAACCATGTGATGAGTGAATTATTGAAGATTAAATACTATATATATATATATATATATATATATATATATATATATATATATATATATATATGAATTATTCGTTATTTATTGGTTCCATGAAAATACACATACAACTGAGGATAGTGTATTATGCTGTTATTTAATTCTGTGCTATTATTATGATTATGCTTACCATTATTATAATGTTGTAATTACTGTCATACTGTTTTACTTCGTATGACCCTTAAGGGTAGGTGAATCTCCATATATATATATATATATATATATATATATATATCGTTGTCATCGTTGACTTTCCCATTGACTATTTAGAGAAGAAAAAAGATATTTTTCAGTGATCTTCATGTTTGCGTTTTTTCTTTCTTTGTAAATAATAAACTTCTATGTTATGAAATTGTTTTTCAAAATATGTTATGCAATAGAGACGGACAGACATTCTATGCATTCTAGGCGCTTATGACCTAATCAACAGTGATTCTTATTATCAGTGTATACCTTGTACACACACACATATCATGCATGGTCTCCTTTCCGTATTGTTATGGTTGACAGGAGTTGGAGTTCCCCTCGAGCTATTATTATTATTATTATTCTTTCGAATTACACTTAACTTATTTTGCATCATTTTATGCTTAGCTTAATTCTTGTAACGATTATGTACTTCTTTGAAGGTTAAAATAAGACTGTGTATCACAGCTTTATTGTTTCAATTATGAGTTATTATTATTACTATTATTAACGTTTATAGACAGTATGTATGTACTCTGGTCACGCTAACGTTATAAATATACGTGCACCTTCTTTTTTATGAACAAAACATTCTTTTCTTTCTTTTAGCCTTATTTCAACTCGATAATGAATGAAAGAGTGAAATAAGAATACGATAGTTGTGTTAATCACTATTGATTTTTATTTCTTGTGTCTTCTGTTCTCTTGATCTCTCTCTCTCTCTACATCACGATGATCATGCATGCATACAAGTATAAACTACAGGTGCAAGTAGGCCACGAGAGAGAAAGAGAAAGAAAGAAAGAATGAGAGTTTTTGGAAAAAAAAGGCGAATCATCTACACTGTTGATAGATTTACAAAGCAAAAATACTGACGAAAATTACTGAGTGAGTGAGGTATATTCGTTTGCTTGTATATTTGTGCGTGTGTGTGTGTGTTGTTTTCACAATTGTATTTTTTTGTTGCTTTCATGCATTCACACATCACATAACTTGTATTCTGCTTGTTAATTTTCGCTATGCTATGCTGTAACAGTTTTGCTTATTTTGTAAGTTATTTTATGTTTAAGTATTGTTATAATTATTATAAATATTATTCTTATTATTGCTACTCTTGTTTCTCTGTCCGTTTTCCTATGCACTCACCATCTACCTGTTAAGAAATATATATATATATCGACGAAAAGAACGTTCTACACATCGATGTATAGTTTCATCTTCTTTCAGTTTGTATTTTCTTGTGTACGATATTTATTAATTATTTTACGAAAAATGTATCAAGTTCTTGCGTATAGAATCTCTCTGTTTATGCATGTATGTGTGTGTATGCGTGCGTGTGTTACTATGTTTATTCCGATGATGATATAAACGGTAGTTATGATTCTCGTTTAGATGTAGAACAAACGTTGTGTGCGTGTGTGAAATTAGTCAATAATGTTTTACAAATGTATATATTGGACGTTTGTTTCGAAAATTATCAGATATATGATGATGATGATGAGTAAGGCTTGTTTCTGGGTTAATTTCTAGGTGAAACTATCTCTCTAACTACAATGAACTCTGATGAATGAAGTAAGCGCGTTATAGTGTTGTACTTTAACGTATCATCCTGTTAATCATTGATGTTAAACTAAAATATAAAATTATGTGTCATACTTTGTATTTAATAGACAGTTAATGGATTGATAAAAATAGTTTCACTTTTTGTATCAGTCTTTATTTCTCTTCTCCGTTAATTGTGATTTGTCTGGTAATAAGACCTATAATAAGACTTCCAAATTACTCCGATAGTTAATCGTCGCTGCCACCACCATGACAACAGCAACAATGATATAACTGTTACGCGGAAACAAGGCAAAAGATGAGTTGTTGACAAGAGGGCGGCTGTTATTGTCTCAAACAGTAGTCAAAACATTTGATAGTGATACTGAAAACACAGGTTTTATTAAATATTCTTGATGAACACCAAATCCACTGATAAGTTTAAAGAGTTAGCCGCAATCTTCACAAGAGTATGAAATACACAAGGCGCAGTTTGAGCATGTATCTTGGCACTAATTTAAGTAGTTTGGAGACTTTTAATTCGAGTTTTACTGTTAGCCAGATTTTCCTTCAAACAATGGCCCTCTTGATGTGTTGAGAATGAGATTTTACTATACTAGCCATAAATTCGACATATTTGTTTTATAATTCATTCGATACTTACTAATGGTTGGTGAAGGTAATGTTTTGGTGAATGTCTAAGCACAAGTGATGCTGTAGGAGACTGGATATTTATTTTGCTTGATCATTGGCTAGCTAGAACTCGAGCTCTGAGTAAAAGGTGTGTTTCGGAGACACACATAGAATGCCGAATTGTGATTATTTACTTGACATCACCTTGCCAACATGGAGAATCCACAAAATCCATTCTACAGCTGTTAAGATGTTCTTTGGACTCTGTTCTCTTGGGCTTGTGGATGTATGATTAGTATGAAGTACTAGAGCAGAAAACTTGTTACTCGGCTGAATTCCAGTGAGAATAAGAAAAGATTGTGATGTCGGTACATATAATTGCATAGTTTCTGTTAAAATATTGTTATTTTAGCGGTTGGTGTCGATGCTAAAGTAGGAAAGGTGTACCAATCGGAAACATTTACTACTAACATCTGTGAATTTCCATGCTGATGAACCAGCAAGGTGGTCCCATTTTACGATGCTATTCGGATAGTCATCTGTCCCTGGTCAGCTCCCTGTGCAACAGCTGCATTGTTTCTAGATTCGTACTACTCCGCGCAATCATACGCTTACGACTGAACGGACACGGAAAACACCCACTTGACGAGAAGAAGAAGTAACTCTTTAGATGTGAAATAACTAAGATCCGTTAATAAGCTAAAACCGACGGTAGGTAAATGCCAGTGGATTTATACTGATTCAAGCAGATTGATTCTGGAAGGGCTCTGAACATGATGAAGCAAGCTGACTATTGTTTTCCCAGGGATCATAAACAGTAATGGATGACAAAAGCGGAAGAGATGGAAAAGGTTTGGACAATAGGTAGTACCGTACAACTATTCAGACTAATTAGCGAAACGTGTTCTGAAATGCTAATGATATGCGAGACAATTTCCGAGAATATTACCTTAACTACTTCTTAGGACAAGCTATTGAAACCAATGGGAAGTGGAACGATTTGGGAGAAGGACTATACTTTGATTACCTTTCAGCATAGACGACTGGGACTTTGGAGACGACACTTTGTGGAGCAGTTCAACTGGCATACATCCGCGCTAAGCTTGCTCAGTATCCAACTCCTACCTGAGTGGGATGTAGTTATAGGTCCTGCAACGATAACTAAAGTTAAAAGAAAAGTCTGTATTCTAAGATGAGGTAAAACAACGGGACCTGATGGAATGATTACAGATGTGTTTACCGATGGCGGTGACGAACTATTGTATGCATTCATGAATAATCCTTATTCAGACAATAACGAAAACAAAACACGTAGTTCTGCGAAGAATCTCTTTTCAGTGAATTCATTCCCTTAACTGTACAATAGGAATTATATATAATTGTTTATGCATATATGTGTACATTAGGTTTGTCAAACAAGACAAGACAGCGTCACAAATAAGAGATCTTTACCATTTTTACCTGAATGCATTTTATTTTTTAGCGTTGAAATGAAAGTGTACACTTATCTCGCATATTTACTTTACTGATTATTTCACTTTTTGTGGGGATTTTCCGCTTTCAAATTTTCACTTTTATTCTTAGCTGTACAGTTATGATTAATTAAATTAAGTTAGGGGAAAATAACTGCCTAAGACTGATGCAGCAAAGATGTTTATTTCCTGAAAGAGTCGTTTGTATAGTTATACGTTTGAAAAAAAAGAGATGAAAGGATATAATATTCCACAGGAAGTAGTATAAAAGAGTCAAAAATAATCTATAAAAGTTGCCTGGTAAAATGATATTAAGGATGTTAGTTGTGTATCTTAATTTACAATTGACGTTCCCAAATGTAGTATCTACAGTTGTACATAAATGTTTTTTTTATTTCTACTCTTTTACTTTTTCATCGACCAAACGTTTTGGGCAAATGTCGAACAGACTTTCAAGGTTTTCACAGTTTACCAGATTTTTTTGAAACGATCTTGTTACATAAAAAGTAAAAACAAAATAAATAGTGATAGTAGCGATAGTGATAATAATAATGATAACAGTAATAATAATAATGACGACACCAACAATTAGGAATCTAAGTCATCAGTAGTAATTCCATACAAGGGAGGAACCTCGGGAACCACTTTACACTGAATTCTTAACAAGGCAGGAATAAAAGTGACTGGCGTTCAAACCAACCACAAACTCAATTAGAAACAAGCTTTGTCGGTCAAAGGATCTTGTCAGTGGAGCCTTTAAAACAAAACAATTTAGTTTATCTAATACCCTGCTGTAATGATTGTCAGGTCAAATACACAGGTCAAAGTAGTAGAAACGGTGCAGTCAGACTAGCTGAACATAAAAACCTAGCAAAATCTAGATTAGTTGACCTAAATGAGATAAGAAATCTAGAGAATAGTTCAACTATACCACTCAGTACATGCAGTTACACACAACCACTCAATAGGATGGATGGGATAGGATGACAGTTTTAAAATCGATGTAACAACGGGGTGGAGGGAGAGATGGATAACAGAACCTTTGTTTATTGAATCAACTGCAAATACATGTAATAGGAATGATTCGTCACCTATCCCTGATATCTGGGAAATTCTACTACCCCTACGACAAATAGTGGAGGACAAAGAAAACTATAAAACTC